TGTAAGAAACAAACCCATGACGATTATACAGAACGTTGGTTCATGTAGACCCCTGGTTTCAATACAACATAGGGTGCTACCTGCACTGTAAACATTTCAAAGTTGTGATTTGTGGACTTTTTCTCTCCGGAGGAATAAATAGGAAAAGGTCCTTGACTTCATTGGAAGTTTTAGCGGTAAACACAATAGCATTTCATTTAAATATGGTTTGTTTCTTACCCTGCATTACAGCCAGAAGATTTAGATCCTTTCCAAGAGGCATTAGAAGAAAGAAGATATCCCGGGGAAGTCACCATTCCAAGTCCCAAACCCAAATATCCTCAATGCAAAGAGAATAAAAAGGATTTAATAACGTAAGCATAATGTGAGGTGAAATTATTTTTTACTCCTTCTTAACCTTACCTCTCTCTCGTTGTCTTATCTGAATAAACAAGTGCATATATGCCTTGCAGTATGAGCATGCAGCATTTGCAGCATATAAATGTTTCAGGCGTCAGTTAAGTTTAAGTGATGAAGCTGCTTGTCCCTAACGATGCTATATTGTACTGAAACGCCATTTCATTTTGCAGCTTTTCTGATAGGATGCTTAAATCCCCCCCCCCCCCCCTCGCAGACATTGCAGCTAAACTGGAAACAATGAAACTTTTCAAAGTTTTTTAAAACATACTTACTATTTTGGCTGTTTTTGTTTTGTTTTTGTTTGGTGGCAGATGTCCAACACCAGGGTGTGATGGGAGTGGTCATGTGACTGGTAATTACGCCTCTCATAGAAGGTGTGACTTCATTTTTTTCATGGTGGATTCTGTCTTTTCAATTTATTGTTTTCAGCTTACCTCAACAATGCTGTCAAAGTAAAAATGTTGAACTACGTGTTAACCCTTTGAGTAATACATGTTGAACTTAAATAGCATGCTAATTTGTGTGTTGTATAAACGTCTTGTTCTTTTAAAACAACTACAATTTTGAAATTTTTAACTCTTTCAAATAGTTAACCCATGGATCACTAATACTTTTTTTTTTATAGCTATTATCTTGTCCTTTTAACAAAAATTCTACACATTTTATAGTTAAACATATTCAGAGGGTTAACTTATATTACAAAATGTAATATTGCAGCACTTGCCCGCTTCATCGCTTTTCTGCATTATAATTTTTTAATTTAATTTTTAAGCATTGTGTTTGTTTGGAAAAACTTGGCTTAAACGAATATCAACTTACTTGCCTGTCCTGACCTATTTTACAGTCTGTCTGGCTGCCCGCTGGCTGATAAAAGTATTCGAAGTATGCTGGCCACAAGCTCACAGGAACTCAAGTAAGATATGACGAAAGCCATTCCTTTAAAAAAAAAAACCTTAGTATTTACCGACAGAAGACTCTAGTTTATAAAAGGGCACCGTTCAACAGCAACTCACAGCAAAGATAAGATAGATAAAGATTCCTGGGTATTTTGCAGTCTTTCAAATGAAGTGATAAAACTACTAACTAGGATTCAGGGTTTATGAGTACCACTTTGTTGAACCAAACCAATTGAGAATTTCTTAAGCTTGTAATAAATCATCAAGACAGATAAACAGTAGCTGGTCCATTATAGGATTTTCAAGTGAAATGAAGAAAGTTAACCAAAGAAATCTTCAACTGTGACAAATTTTGAATCATAGCATGATTTTCCCCCCACTTGTTAACTGTTATAGTTACAAAATGACATTTGAAATTATAACATCATGCTATAATGCTAGCTTGGGTAGATGTTTTATTATAAATGTCCAAAATTAAGTACAAAAAATCTGGATCTTTGAATGAAGTTCAAATTTTAGAATAAAGTAAAAAAAATAAAGACATAAAAACTGAGCAATGGAATAATCTGAGGGGTTTTGTTGACTTACATAAGATGGAATGGAAATATCCCTTTATGATCCAAAAATAAACTTCAGCATCCTCTATAATTTGTAGGAAGAACTGGAATGATAGAAGCATTGTGGTTTCTGATAGTATGATTGTGCCTTGAATTGTGCTGCCTCAAGCAGACATCAAATATGGCTCTATGACTTGGGAAAGATGGGAGACCTAGTAAATGACATTATTGCGAACACTAAAAGAAAACAGGATTAAATAGTATTAATACAATACAATATTAGAAATAATTAAATAGATTGTAGAATAAGTATAAAACTACCATTGATAGCTACCAGACACTGGTAAAGAAAAAAAAACTACAAAAGGAATAGTTAGATTCCAAAAATGTACATTAGATTAACAGAGTTGGAAGGGACCTTGTAGGTCATCTAATCCAACCCCTTGCACAAGCAGGAGACTCTGCACTATTTTTGACAAATGACAGTCCAATATCTTCTTGAAAGCCTCCAGTGATGAAGCTGCCACAACTTCCGAAGGCAACTTCTGTTCCATTGGTTGATTGTTCTCACTGTCAGAAAATTTCTCCTTATTTCTAGGTTGAATCTCTCCTTGATTAGTTTCCATCCATTATTCCTCGTCTGACCTTCAGGTGCCTTGGAAAATAGCTTGACCCCCCCCCCCTCTGTAGCAGCACCTCAAATATTGGAACACTGCTATCATGTCTCCCCTGGTCCTTCTCTTCGCTAGACTAACCATGACAAGTTTCTGTAACTGTTCTTCACATGTTTTAGTCTCCAGTCCCCTAACCATCCTAGTTGCTCTTCTCTGCACTTTTTCTAGAGTCTCAACATCTTTTTTACAGTGTGGTGACCAAAACTAGATACAGTACTCTAGGTGTGGTCTTACTAAGGTTTTATAGAGTGGTATTAGTACCTCGCCCGATCTTGATTATATCTCTCTGTTAATGCAATTTAGGATTGTGTTGGGTTTTTTGGCTTCCGCTGCACACTACTAGATCATATTTAACTGATTGTCCACTAAGACTCCAAGATCCCTCTCACAGTTATTAGTATTAAGCCTGGTTTCACACAGTCTATTTGTGTACTTTTGATTTTTCTTGCCTAAGTGTAAGACTTTACTTTTCTCTACATTGAATTTCTTTTTGTTAGATAGGACCCAGTGTTCAAGTTTGTCGAGATCCATCTGGATCTTGAGCCTATTATCTGTTAGCTATTCCTGCCAGCTTAGTATCATTTGCAAATTTTGTAAGTTACCCTTCTATTCCCTCTTTCAAGTCATTTAAGAAGATATTAAAGAGCATTGGGCCTAAGAAAGAACCTTGTGCTGCCCCACTGCTTCCTTCCTTCCATGCAGACCTAGGCCCATTAAGGACTACTCATTGAATATGGTTTGTCAGCCAGTTACGAATTCATCTGGCGGTGGTGCTATTTATCCCACTTTTTTCTAGCTTAAGAAGAAGTAGGTTGTGGTCTACTTTGTCGAATGCCATGTAATCTCATTCCAGGCAATCCACTAATGAGTGTGACATTTTTTGTTTAATCTAGACTCCAGACTGAAAGTAGAAACTGAATTGGTTTGCAAATAAAAATATGCAGGGAAACAAGGGCTGCTATAGTTCAAAAAAGTTGGCCTGGATAGTCTGAAATCAAGGCAGCATAAGGTTGTGCTTTTACATTCTGGTTTATCTTGCCAGACTGAGCTACCAGGCACTCTAATAAATAAGAATGAAAAATAAAACTGATCCCCTTTGCTTCCTGAACTCAATTCTTTAACTTCCAGGTCTTCTCTGAAGTTTAAGGAATTATTCGGAGCATATGGGGATCCATGGAGGGGAAATTCAGTTGCAATGCTTGCTTATGAAATTGAATGCAGTGTTTTAGGTAACTCATTCTTTCTAAATGAACTCTTCACTAGCAAACATTGCTCTTTATTAACAAACAAAAATAAAATAAGGTTTGCTTGATTTTAAGCAAAGCAGTTCAGAAGCACGATTAATTTAATACTAGAAAATTGCATTTTGTTTTTATTTCTATTCATAAATTGTGAAATTGGAGCAAGGTGACTTGCCTTGGCTTACATAGCACTGAACCTCCATACCAATCATTCCACACATCAACAGCAAATTGACGTCCTATTCCCATGTGGAGCCAAATGGTTTTTTCTTGCTGCAGCCACTTCCTTCATTTCTCTTGTCTCATTTTTATTTCTTCATGGCTTTTGGAGAATTCTCAAATTGCCTCTCCTACCTCAGAAAACCAATATAGAAGGAAATGTAGATAGCCATGGTGTCTACCTACAAAGCCCATAATCCCAAGTGGAATTACATTTATCTTTCCTGCTGCTATTTGCTTATATTTCCTATATGTGCAAGCTAAATACAATTAGGGCAAATACTTGTTCTTTCATACTCATAAATCACCAAGTTGCTTAGTCAGATGACTCAACAGGATTATGACATTTCAAATCAGAATAGTCACTACAATCAAGTATATATAAAACAGAAAGGATAGAATGCAACTGTCTACCAAAAAACTTCATTTGCATTTCCTGTAGCAATATAAATAAGCAGGAGAGAAATTTCTAATGAAGATTTTAGAATTATTGTTTCAACAGCATAGTCTAGTCTTTAGAGAACCTTGTGGAAAAATCATATAGTAAATGAGAATATTTTGGTATCCCTGGACATTGCTTTATACTTACAATGAAAAATGTAGATATATAAAATAATTTTGATATGGCTCCTATTCATAATAGATTTGGGTTGTTTATTTCCAGGAGATTCACAGTAAGATGAATGACAGCTCATTTTTGAAACTGATGGTTACTCCAGAAAAGCTTTAAAAATAGAAAGCTTAACATTGGTTATTTTGCATGGAACACCCATCAGTTTACCAGAAACATTAGGAGAGGTTTTAGGTTTATAGATATCTGAGAATAAAAGCCAGCCATTTTTGGAAGTGCTAGTTGAAGCAGAAACAATAATATTATTTAATCCTTTCTAAAATTCTCCTACTTGTCCGCCACATAGCACTTGCTTGCTAGTTATAATAGCAAAATATCTTTCTGTCTATTTTTGCTTCCTACAACTAATTCTGTCCTTTCTTTCTTCAACATACAAAGGTGACACATTTCTATTAATTTATAAAAATGGGTGGAAGTAATTGAGCTTTTTTTAAAATAGAACTTACCACAAGAACAATGTGGAGAATATTGTTTTTCTATTTCCAAGTGAACATATGGATTTTTTTTTCTTTTTGCCTTTCCCTTCCCTTTCCCAAAAAACTCCTATGGTTTCTGCCAGTAGAATGATTGCTTTACAAGACCTTTAGGTAAAAGGAATCTGTGAGGTTCCAGGAAGTTTTTTCTGTTATTGTGCCTGTTCTTTGGAATGAGATTCTCCCACCCACATCATAATTTTCATGTTTGTATTTACATACAAAACTTGGAAGTTTTGGAAGTTTCAAAGGCAGTTTTGATGTGTTTCCAAGTATATACAGGTGAAACTCCAAAAATTAGAATATCATGCAAAAGTTCATTTATTCCAGTAATGCAACTTAAAAAGTGAAACTAATATATGAGATAGACTCATTACAATGCAAACCAAGATAGTTCAAGCCGTGATTTGTCATAATTGTGATGCTTATGGCTTATAACTCATGAAAACCCCAAATCCACAATCTCAGAAAATTAGAATATTGTGAAAAGGTGCAATATTTTAGGCTCAAAGTGTCCCACTCTAATCAGCTAATTAAGCCATAACACCTGCAAAGGGTTCCTGAGCCTTTAAATGGTCTCTCAGTCTGGTTCAGTAGGAATCACAATCATGGGAAAGACTGCTGACCTGACAGTTGTGCAGAAAACCATCATTGACACCCTCCATAAGGAGGGAAAGCCTCAAAAGGTAATTGCAAAAGAAGTTGGATGTTCCCAAAGTGCTGTATCAAAGCACATTAATAGAAAGTTATGTGGAAAGGAAAAGTGTGGAAGAAAAAGGTGCACAAGCAGCAGGGATGACCGCAGCCTGGAGAGGATTGTCAGGAAAAGGCCATTCAAAAGTGTTGGGGACTTTCACAAGGAATGGACTGAGGCTGGAGTCAGTGCATCAAGAGCCACCACACACAGACGGATCCTGGACATGGGCTTCAAATGTCATATTACTTTTGTCAAGCCACTCCTGAACAACAAACAACGTCAGAAGCGTCTTACCTGGGCTAAAGAAGAACAGACCTTATCTGTTGCTCAGTGGTCCAAAGTCCTCTTTTTCTGATGAGAGCAAAGTTTGCATCTCATTTGGAAACCAAGGACCCAGAGTATGGAGGAAGAATGGAGAGGCACACACTGCAAGATGCTTGAAGTCCAGTGTGAAGTTTCCACAGTCTGTGTTGATTTGGGGAGCCATGTCATCTGCTGGTGTTGGTCCACTGTGCTTCATTAAGT